ACTCGTAACAGGGAAGTGTGCGACGCGATCGGAGACATTGCTGGCAAAGACGGCGCGAGCGTTTATTGCATGGACAAGTGTCTGGTCTATCCTTCCAATTGCCCTTCGGAACGTTGCCGCTGTTATTGAACGACAAATTTCAATCACGCGTCCGAGAATGATTCGACCTCGCGAGGAATTGAAACGCTGTACACACACTTCGGACGATGCTTCTGTATCTTTGCACCTATTGCACGCAACTTGAAGACGCAAGAATTGTTGCAGGTCAATTTCCAATATCTCGATAACCATAATTTGTTCGAAGAAAACGAACGCCTCGTCGAGCATGCCCGCTTATGAGAAATTTCATTGAAATTCAACACTTTAAATCAAAACTTATTTCAACGACTTGGCATCTGCCATTACGTTCCATCTGATTTTGTACAGAAATACGATCGATGTCTGCTATTAAACGACTTGCGCACCATGGATAACTGTTTCAAATTTATTTCGCTACCACACGCGTTGAATAATAAGTACGTATGATCGACAACTGTGTTTTTTTTTCTATTTATTTCTCATCGTACGAATGACATACCTGGCAAGATACAGGTATATAAAGCAATGTCCAAGTTGGATGAAGGTTAAACGTAAGGTAAAAGGTAAGCTTGTCTGATCCAGCGATACTAAGTTTATAGTACGTTATCGTCTAGTATAGTACTATATTGTTACTGTTATCCTCGTTTTTACTACTTATTTTTACTCGATACGTACCAATTGATTAAAACGTTCGTTGTTCGTCGTGTTGTACGATATATAGTACGATATATAGTGCGATGGAAATACGAAAGTAGAGTAACATGGCGTAGCGCCTATGGACAAGTTTTGAATGAGAATTTGTCGTCTTCGAAGAGTAAAATTATTATTACTATTGTTACTAGTATTATTACTACTACTACGTTACCGAATGAATGAAGCAAACGTCGGGATTATATTCAATACGACACAGAATTTAATCTCACTATGGTGTATTTAGTATTAGGACATTCTATTGACAGCTTAAAATAGTACGCATGTATCACATATTATATATAGGTATGTAACGAATAACGCTCTCTCTGCTTTTACGTATACGCGTGCGTGTGCATGTGTACGCATGCGTACCTACATACGCGTAAATGCAGCTACATTCAACGAAACGATCATTACATGCCGCGAAACGTTTCCGATGCAACGATTCTCTTCGCGCGTATTCGTATACGCCAGTGCCTACGTACTCGCGTGATACACATAGTATACGTATATGTATACGCGTGCGTGTACATGTACTCGTCGATACCTACGCATCGCACAGGTGCATCGTCCATCGAGTCGCGTTGCTGTCGCCTGAAAACTCGTAATTTTTTTTTTATCGGCCTCGAGATCGATACCAACACCGTATCTTGTCTCGTGGTTCCACGTTCTATATATACTTCTTTCTTCTTCATTTGTCGTGTCTATACATCGTCGATATACTTTACAAAACTATATACACTAAAGCCTTTTACGTCGGACAACATGTTTCTTTCGAATAAGTCTAAGTAGTAACACGTTTTATCCGTTTCGTTCTTCCGCGCGTACTTTGTCGCGTGTACCTGACGATAATTAATTAAATTATTCAGTGAACGATAGCGTGTTCAACGTGTCGATAATACAGTTTCAAAATACACTTGTGACAGACGCATCGCGAGTAACGACTAGCGCGATCCAACTAACGCATCTAAGGTCGTCGTATAATAATACTTACTTATTTACCTATTCACTTGCTTCGTTTCCCCTCGTTCGTACGTACGTCCGTCCTCCTACTTATCGTAATGTCGTATAATTATTCAAGCAACTGTTCAACCTCTACGATTCCTTTAAAATGCAACGAAATATCCATATATATATATATCCATATATATCTCGGACTCGATCTTTCAGAGACAATTTTCGGTTTTACTTCGCGTCGATAGTCTGATCGTTTATCACTGTTCGCATGCGGAACGTTTCAACAACAACAACAACCCATGATACACGGATACGCAAAAATATATACGTGTGTGTGTGTGTATACACACACACACACACA